TTCGAATAGCAAAGGATGCTCTAAAAGGGAAAGGCAACTTCCTATCTTCAATCTTCGAGAAAAGTTTCATGCGGATACGGCCTTCTTCTAAAATCGCAAAAACCCAAGAAATAGTTACAAAGTCGAATAAAAGCAAGATTGGAGGGGGCAGGGGAGTGGAGCCGTGGAAGTGGCAGTGGCGGGTCATGCGGCTTTTCAGGGCCTCAGACGAAGGGTGCGGAGGCTTTGGCCGATATCACTATTTTGCAGAAGATATAACTTTCACAAAATCTTCTGTTGTGAGTGTTAATTCTCTTGCCCCCCTTCTCCACTTCCCAAACCAGACTTGTCGAAAGCCCGTGCTATGAATAGCTTTTCATTTTCACAAAATGTTTGGAAAACGACCCTTATTGAAGACTACGAACTTACTAGTTCTCGTCAATTTGATACTGACTTTCTGGCCATTAGGGGTGACTCAATGCTAGGGAAGGTTTCAAGAAAAACATTTTATTTTTGAAAAAAACTCGTTTTAAAATTGCTTTGTAGCACACCCTTTGAACTTACGTAAACACAGGAAAATCAATTAGGAAACACAAAAAATTAATCGGTTCTTACTTATCGAATAGTTTAATGACGGATTCAGCTATATTCACAGCTTGGTTAAATACCAATAAATTTTCAATGCAGTTTTTTACCACCACCCTGGCCACACCCATTTTGCCATCACCATATTCGCCGATAACCGATATTCGTTAAATATAAGCCGATAACCGAATAGGAATATGACTGAAAGTTTGGACAGCCCTAATCGGTCGATAATTCGAATTTGAGAATGAAAGAAGGCTGAATTTAGATTTCATAGGATCTTAGCGGGTACATGTAAAGAAATACTATATATGCGAGTTTAGATTAAGATTTCTTCCAGAACGGGATAATTCAATTAGAATGAAAAGAGGCTGAATTTAGATTTTTCATAGGATCTTAGGGGTACATGTAAAGAAAATACATATACTGCGAGTTTTAGATAAGATTTCTATCCAGACGGGATAATTCGATTACATGGGCTGAATTTAGAGTTTTTCATAGATCTTAGGGGTACATGTAAAAGAAAATATCATATACTGCGGTTTTAGATTGATTTCCATCTCAGAACGGGATAATTCAATTGAGAATGAAAAATAGGCTGAATTTAGATTTTCATAGAATCTTAGGGGGTACATGTAAAGAAATACATATACTGCGAGTTTTAGATAAGATTTCTATTCAAACGGGATCATTCATTGAGAATGAAAAAGAGGCTGAATTTAGATTTTTATAGGATTTAGGGAGGTACATGTAAAAAAAATACATAACTGCGAGTTTTAGATAGATTTCCATTCAGAACGGATATTCAAATTGAGAATGAAAAGAAGGCTAGATTTAGGATTGTTCGATAGGACTTAGGGGGTACATGTAAAGAAATACTATATCGAAACGGTTTTAGATAAGATTTCTATCCAGAACGGGATAATTCGAATTGAGAATGAAAAGAGGCTGAATTTAGATTGTTATGAAGGCTTAGGGGTACATGTAAGAAATAATATACTGCGGTTTTAGCTAAGATTTCTATCCAGAACGGGATCAATGAATGAGAATGAAGAGAAGGCTCGATTTGATTTTTTCATAGGGATTCTATAGGGGTACTGTAAGAAAATACATATATGCGGTTTTAGTAAAGATATGATTTCTATCCAGAACGGGATAATTCGAATTGAGAATGAAAACAGAGGCTGAATTTAGATTTTTCATAGGACCTTAAGGGGTACATGTAAGAAAATACATATACTGCGAGATTTAGATATGATTTCTATCCAGAACAGGATAATAGGAATTGAGAATGAAAACAGAGGCTGAATTTAGATTTTTCATAGGATCTTAGGGAGTACATGTAATAAAATACATATACTGCGAGATTTAGATATGATTTCTATCCAGAACGGGATAATTCGAATTGAGAATGAAAACAGAGGCTGAATTTAGATTTTTCATAGGATTTTAGGGGGTACATGTAAGAAAATACATATACTGCGTGTTTTAGATAAGATTTCTATCCAGAACGGGATCATTCAAATTGAGAATGAAAAGATAGGCTGAATTTAGATTTTTCATAGGATCTTAGGGGGTACATGTAAAGAAATACATATACTGCGTGTTTTAGATAAGATTTCTATCCTGAACGGGATAATTCGAATTGAGAATGAAAAGAGAGGCTGAATTTAGATTTTTGATAGGATCTTAGGGGGTACATGTAAGAAAATACATATACTGCGTGTTTTAGATAAGATTTCTATCCAGAACGGGATCATTCAAATTGAGAATGAAAAGAGAGGCTGAATTTAGATTTTTGATAGGATCTTAGGGGGTACATGTAAAAAATATATATACTGCGAGTTTTAGATATGTTTTCTATTCAGATCGGGATAATTCGAATTGAGAATGAAAAGAGAGGCTGAATTTAGATTTTTCATAGGATCTTAGGGGGTACATGTAAAGAAATACATATACTGCGTGTTTTAGATATGATTTATATTCAGATCGGGATAATTCGAATTGAGAATGAAAAGAGAGGCTGAATTTAGATTTTTCATGAGATCTTAGGGGGTACATGTAAAGAAATACATATACTGCGTGTTTTAGATAAGATTTCTATCCAGAACGGAATCATTCAAATTGAGAATGAAAAGAGAGGCTGAATTTAGATTTTTGATAGGATCTTAGGGGGTACATGTAAGAAAATACATATACTGCGTGTTTTAGATAAGATTTCTATCCAGAACGGAATCATTCAAATTGAGAATGAAAAGAGAGGCTGAATTTAGATTTTTGATAGGATCTTAGGGGGTACATGTAAGAAAATACATATACTGCGTGTTTTAGATATGATTTCTATTCAGATCGGGATAATTCCAATTGAGAATGAAAAGAAAGGCTGAATTTAGATTTTTCTTAGGATCTTAGGGGGTACATGTAAAGAAATACATATACTGCGTGTTTTAGATAAGATTTCTATCCAGAACGGGATAATTCGAATTGAGAATGAAAAGATAGGCTGAATTTAGATTTTTCATAGGATCTTAGGGGGTACATGTAAGAAAAAACATATATTGCGAGATTTAGATATGATTTCTATCCAGAACGGGATAATTCGAATTGAGAATGAAAGAGAGGCTGAATTTAGATTTTTCATAGGATCTTAGGGGGTACATGTAAAGAAATACATATACTGCGAGATTTAGATATGATTTCTATCCAGAACGGGATAATTCGAATTGAGAATGAAAACAGAGGCTGAATTTAGATTTTTCATAGGATCTTAAGGGGTACATGTAAGAAAATACATATACTGCGAGATTTAGATATGATTTCTATCCAGAACGGGATAATTGGAATTGAGAATGAAAAGATAGGCTGAATTCAGACTTTTCATAGAATCTTAGGGGGTACATGTAAAGAAATACATATACTGCGTGTTTTAGATATGATTTCTATTCAGATCGGGATAATTCGAATTGAGAATGAAAAGAGAGGCTGAATTTAGATTTTTGATAGGATCTTAGGGGGTACATGTAAAGAAATACATATATCGCGTGTTTTAGATAAGATTTCTATCCAGAACGGAAGAATTCGAATAATTGAGAATGAAAGAGAGGCTGGATTTAGATTTTTCATAGGATCTTAAGAGGTACATGTAAAGAAATACATATATCGCGTGTTTTAGATAAGATTTCTATCCAGAACGGGATAATTCGAATTGAGAATGAAAAGAGAGGCTGAATTTAGATTTTTGATAGGATCTTAGGGGGTACATGTAAAGAAATACATATATCGCGTGTTTTAGATAAGATTTCTATCCAGAAAGGAAGAATTCGAATAATTGAGAATGAAAGAGAGGCTGAATTTAGATTTTTGATAGGATCTTAGGGGGTACATGTAAGAAAATACATATACTGCGTGTTTTAGATAAGATTTCTATCCAGAACGGGATCATTCAAATTGAGAATGAAAAGATAGGCTGAATTTAGATTTTTCATAGGATCTTAGGGGGTACATGTAAAGAAATACATATACTGCGTGTTTTAGATAAGATTTCTATCCTGAACGGGATAATTCGAATTGAGAATGAAAAGAGAGGCTGAATTTAGATTTTTGATAGGATCTTAGGGGGTACATGTAAGAAAATACATATACTGCGTGTTTTAGATAAGATTTCTATCCAGAACGGGATCATTCAAATTGAGAATGAAAAGAGAGGCTGAATTTAGATTTTTGATAGGATCTTAGGGGGTACATGTAAAAAATATATATACTGCGAGTTTTAGATATGTTTTCTATTCAGATCGGGATAATTCGAATTGAGAATGAAAAGAGAGGCTGAATTTAGATTTTTCATAGGATCTTAGGGGGTACATGTAAAGAAATACATATACTGCGTGTTTTAGATATGATTTATATTCAGATCGGGATAATTCGAATTGAGAATGAAAAGAGAGGCTGAATTTAGATTTTTCATGAGATCTTAGGGGGTACATGTAAAGAAATACATATACTGCGTGTTTTAGATAAGATTTCTATCCAGAACGGGATAATTCGAATTGAGAATGAAAAGAGAGGCTGAATTTAGATTTTTCATAGGATCTTAGGGGGTACATGTAAGAAAATACATATACTGCGAGTTTTAGATAAGATTTCTATCCAGGACGGGATCATTCAAATTGAGAATGAAAAAAGTAGTTCGATTTAGATTTTTGATAGGATCTTAGGGGG